ATTTCTCGTGGAAGCCTTTTTGGGAAGGGCATGAAGCACCCCCAGAACAGTCAGGGGACCATATTTTGTGCAATAGCAATTCTTCTAAATATAGACCATAGAGCAATCACAAGAAGGATGCAAGCGATGTCCTTGGATGCTCCACAGAACAGGCGGATGACAAAGCTGCTAAGAGGGTTTTGCATTGAAATCCTGTGCTCCCCGATTTAGCAGAAGGCTTCTTTCGCCCTCTCACATGAGTGGGCTGCCGGAGTGGCCCCATAGCATTGCATTTTGAAGCCATTACTTCACCTCGTCCTAGTCCTGCCTTAACAGGTACATAAATTCCCTGGACTCAGGGAGCTTCGTTTTTAACCCAGTAGAAGTAAATTTACTTAACCAAATGTGGGCTCTCTCTAACATTTGCCAGATATCACTGGCCGATTTCTTTTTTTTTTAACCTCATCTTCACAGCAGAAACATAAAAGGGGGGATCTATAAACATTTCAGATTCATAATATACTACTTCCTCTAGGTTATTCTAAGTGGAAACTTTGCTCTTGAGAAAAGGTGAGCATCTACTAAAAAGTAATTTTCTCTTGTCAGGAGGACTCGCTGTGCACTTGGTTGCAGCTGAAATGTGTTTTAATAAGGCCTTTCTCCTTTACAAGCCCGGCTTGCTTTTAGCTCCATCCCACAGCCTGAGTAGGGAGGAAGATGGCTCTCAGATATCCTTTTGTTACCCTAATCAGAGCCAGAAGGGCTGTATTGACTTTCGGGCCTCGGGGAGTTGTAGTTCTTTTGTATCCATCTCATCCAAGAAATCAAGTTTGATTAATTTGTCATCAAGGAAAACGTGTGATCTGCTCAGAGCCCAGCCTTTGAAGTGGAAGGATGAACTTGGGCTGCAAAGTCCAGGTCAGCAGGCGAAACAGCAGTGGTGCCGATTCGAACCAGTTCTTCTCCGCAGAGCTGCCTGTTCTCATTTAAAAGTTTTTCTTTCTTTCTTTCTTTTAACCTGTTCCACACAAGTCTTCTGGGTTGGACTGCTCCCTGGCTAGGACCCTCTTTTGTTTACTTTAATTTTAAAAACAGAGTTACCAGGGCTACAAAGCAAGTAAGACCCAGAAAACATTTAGCCACTCTGCAAGGCATGGGGGTGGGAGGATTTGACCTCTCTACAATCTTAAAAGACCACTGTGAGTGAGAGAGCCACGAGGGCTGAACCCGGTGTCAGCACGTGCTTCTGGAATGAATAATCGGAAGGGTCTCCAGCTGGGTCATGGGACAGATGCTCATTAATGATGCTCTGAGCTTGTTGACCTGCACTTAGTGGAGTTCCCAAACTGCTGAAAATGCATAAGGTAGTGGCCCCAAGATATTATTTAATCCGAGACTTAGTGTCATATTTCTTGTTCAGATGCTATATATGCTTTATAAGGAGTTACCAGGCTTTTAAAAATTACAGAGTAAGCAATCTTTATACATTCCACAGTGTAAGGATCCCCATATTTCACATGCTGGTGCACAGGCCTTTTGATGACTGTTACCGCTCTAGGTATATACATAAAGACACAGTGAATTATTGACCAGAAGTCAGGGGCTTGTTTGGCTTTCAAAGATGTTTAAAAAGTACCAAAAAATTATAAACAGCCTCTGTGGTTACTGAATTCAGTGTCTAAGCTGTTATTATTATTAGAGAATTTGAAAACAATAATGGGATTAGTAAAAACACTCAGCTTTAGAAATCTAAGGGTTTTTTTTTTACTTTAAAAAAAACACTGCTTATGACAACATCCAAACATTCCTTCATTCAAACATGCATTGTATTCAGACTTAGATGCCACGCATGTGCAACTCAAAAATGTCTAAGATATACTTCCTGCATGTCTTATGGTCTAGTAGTTCAGTTTTTTTTGTTTTGTTTTTTTTTGTTTTAGACGGGTCTCACTGTCGCCCAGGCTGGAGTGCAGTGGCGCATTCTTGGCTCACCGCAATCTCTGCCGCCCAGGTTCAAGCGATTCTCCTGCCTCAGCCTCCCGAGTACCTGGGATTACAGGCACGCGCCACCACGCCGGCTATGGTAGTTCAGTTTTAATATTTACCAATCCACTAAAGTTGTCAGCACCATGAAACAGGAATGATTTCATGTCTTGTTTTTGTATCCCCAGTACCTAACACATCATAGTTGTTCAAGAAATACTTGCTGAATGAATGAGTCAATATTGTATATGGTCTATATCTCAGCTATACTGAGGCCTATTAACTTTCCTTTAAGGTAGCAAGGATTAAAATAACATTACATAATTATATATAACATAATTATAACATAAAATAATATGCACATCATACAGGGAACTCTTGGGAGCTTCTCACAATTGGCCCCCCAGTGACAAGTTTGAGTGTCTGCAATCCACGGTGGACAACAGGAGACTTATGTTTCAATGGGAATTTGTTCGGCCTCTAAAATATTTTCATCAACTTTTTTTTTTTTTTTTTGGAGATAGGGCCTCACTGTGTCATCCAGGCTGGAGTGCATAATCCCAGTTCAGTGCAACCTCCACCTCCTAGGTTTGAGTGATTCTTATGCCTCAGCCTTCTGAATAGCTGGAATTACAGGCATGTACCACCATGCTCAGCTAATTTTTCTATTTTTAGTACTGATGGGGTTTCACCATGTTGGCTAGGCTGGTCTCGAACTCCTGGCCTCAGGTGATTCACCCACCTCAGCCTCCCAAAGTACTGGGATTATAGGCATGAACCACCGCACCTGGCCCTGAACCTCCTTCTTATATTATGATGGCAATAATGCTCTTAGAAAATAATTGGCAAGTTCATTCAGGTTATAAGTTGGTTTGTGGCAAATCAACTCAGAAGTCAGGTGCACAGAACTCAACTAAATGGGGAAGATTTGTTTTTTCCCAATATGGTACCACGAGGTAGAAAGATAATAAACAAGCAGTTAGGAGACCAGTGGGTTTGGCCACAGTGTTGCCACCAAAGACTTGCAGGACTCCAAACAAGTTAAGCTCTACCAATACCTGAAGAGGAAAGTGGGAAAGTTTCCTTGGAGCAGTTCATCCTCTTCACTGTACGGATGAATTGATACAGCCAACCAATGGAAGTACCATTTACTAACTCTTTACTGCATGCAAAGGGCTGAGCTGAGTGCTTCAGATGTTACTGGCTTTGAAGAAGTTCTACCTTGCCCTTCTAAAAAGGAGGAAACGGGCTCAGATAAGTTGAAGAACTTGCTCAAGGCACAAGCTAATAGAATTTCAACCTAATAAAGCAAATTCCAAACTAAGCTCTTTGCATTACATCAGTTTGCCTTCTTTCTGATTGTTCATATTCAAGGCTAAATTGGGCATCCCAGACAAGTTCAATCCAGAGAGAGTCCTATGGTCTCTTTGTACTCTAAAGTGGCAAAACCACCAAACCTAAACCAGGACATCTAACATTCTAGTCAAGAAACCAAATTCCATCTTCTCTGCTCTTCTCCTTTCCAATCCCTGGTAGAAGCATTTGCAAACACAAATAGTTAAAGGTCACCAGTAAGAAGTAGAAGAGGGATTTTGCATGATCCATCTGTGCTGGGATAATCCGGAATTGGCCGTGAATATGTTGAAGGGCCTACACGCTACACCAGTAATTCTTTTTCACCTGCCATCTACACCAGTCAAATGTGTTATTCTTGTACATTCTTTGGAGAAGAGTGTTAGGCATGTGTGTCTGCAGATTGGGCACTCAATAAGCGAGACAAAAAAGCAAGCTTCAGATATAAATTTTTAAATTCCCAGTTAAAACCTTGAGAAAATAAACGAGTACATGGTTATGTCCTAGCTATAAACTGGCTTCGAGGCAAATCTGCTTACATGGAGTTGGTGCAAAGATGCAGGTTAGAAAACATGCATTTTTCCACATAAGGTATGGAATGAAGTAAAGATCGTTGACTTTAACAGCCAGGAGATTTGGGGATACGGCCGCAACTTTGCCACCAACTGCTTGTATGACCTTGAACGAATTCTTTATACTTTCTGGGTCATTTCTTCATGTGTAAAATGAAAAGTCTGAACTAGGCCAGTGATATTTCCATCTTTTCCTTAAAGCCGTAAAGTCTTTTCTTTATAAATGAACTCTCATAAGGAATCTCAAAATTCTTGCACATCACATCTTCAACTTCCATCAAGACAGCCTCATCGTAGAACAGGCTGTGGCCACAGTACCTCAGATGAATCTTGGCTCTGCAACTGACTAATGGTGTGACCTTCAGCAAGTTATTTCACCTCTCTGAATGTCACGCGTTATGTTTCCACATACATAAACTGGGGACAACAATGATAGCACCTACCTCCTACGGTGCTGAGAAGAACTAATCTCTAGACGGCATGAAACTCCATACATGCTATTGTTATTGTGGATATTATAGCTATGGACAGAGCCACACACTACAGCAACAACAAACTTTGCCTGATCACTAACTTACGGGGGTTTCAATCGCTTACAGTGTGCCATTTGGCACTTATCATTTAAAAGACTTACAAATAACTTTTCTGAACCAATGCTCATAGTTAGAGAAGATTTTCTATGTAAAATGATGTTTATCACCCGAGATAAAACCAGAGAAAAATGCAAGTAAGTGCCTCCTGTAGGTCAGGATAATGGTTAGTTTAGTGAAACGGGAGGGGACACACGAAGGGGCCCCTGGGGTGACTGGCAAAGTTCTATTTCTTGGCCTGCTGTTATAGTGTTCTTCTTGTAACAATTCACGAAGTTACACATTTGTGTTGTGTGGTTTTCTGTACCTTTCTTTTATGTTACAATAAAAAGGTTTTTATAAAACCTTTGTTTTGCTTCGTAAAACAAAATTAATGAGTACATAAATTATGCTTATTGGCTTCCAAAATGTTAAAATTTGGCCATGTAATGCATATCAGTGTGTGTTACTGCTTTATTACACTTTTAAAAATACTTCTTAAAATGTATTTTACAATGAAAACTTTGTTTGCCATATCCAAAAGTGTTTCTGTAGAACCAGCCTCCTAGGCGACATTCTTTGAAAGCTGATGGACATCTGTTAAATTGTGGATTCCATGATGTTTGTTTTTTTAAAAAAATAAATTCTGAAAAACAGTCTTGTTCTTTATAACTTGACTGTTTTCATGAAACACTAATTATGGTTGCCTTAAAAGGGGGCATAGCTTCAGTGTGTGACCTTCACTTCCATCATTCTTTCCCATTAAGAGTGAATCACAAAACCCAAATATTTCCTAAGATCTGAAACCTTTCTCTAGGTCCATACTTTATAGAATCCTATATGTGGAAAAAACAAATGATTTAAGTTTCCTGAGTTAAAGAGGGAATTGGGGAGTAAGAGCTTGTCCATTTCTTTAATGCTTAGAGGAGCACACACATTTAGCCTTGCCATCTGTAAAAATGGTACCGGAGTTCAACATGCTTATGATTATAAAGAATTTATGATTTATGCTTGCTAGTTAAATATGCTTATGATTTAAACTTATTTTCTCTGGCAAGAAATAAGCTAGTCAGTACCATAGGCTAGCCAGATGATGGGAAATAGAGACATATTTTAATGATACATATTTTAACTTGCTGAGCCTTGTAAATGCTACTGTTTTTTCTTTTCTTCATATAACAAAAGACCCATCATCTTGTAGGATTCCAGAGATTTTTTTATACATTCATTAATGAAAAGCAGTTAAAAGTTCTTTACTAGCAGTTACTGCAGTAAAAGGATCACTGAGGAAGAAAAGGCATGCATGGTCTTGGCTTCCAAAAAAACTGTACATTAGGTGACAAGGCAGAGGAACCTATGCTAATAGAACAACAGAGAACACACTCTAAAAAGTGCATCAGTAACGACTAGATGATAAAGTACACGTAGAATGCATGGTGGCAGTAATCAGATGTAAATATGAGAGGGGAATATTATGAAATTGTAAAGCCTTCATAGTATTATGCCCTGCCCCTCAAAGATTTCATTACATTTGCTGTGTTAAAATTAATTAGGCATCACACACAAAATCTTGAATTGCTTGTTTCTGCAGGGAGAGATAGGAAAGTCTGCAGATGAATGGAAGAGGAAAGAGCTTGCTGGTACATTTTGCTTGTTTTTTAAAGGAATATATTAGACAGCAAGAAAGGAGGAGTGAGTTCACTTTACTTGGTGAAATGGGACAACTGAATCTCATGGGCAAATTGCAGCACAAAAGAGCAACAAGAGTAACTGACATATTCTAAAACAAAATCATTCTTAGTAGAGGGTAAAGAAAAAGAATTAAAATAAGCAAAATGTGTTTTCTAAGAGACCCAGATGAGCCCTGTTATCAAATGTGTTCAACAGAGAAGTGTAAAAACAAAAAGTTACTTCCCATCAGAATACCAGATAACCTACTAAGCACCAGACTACATGCTAGCAACATCAAACATATTAGAGCTGCTAGACAGAAACCTTTAAGATGTGTTGGAATAAACGGGGTTATGCCAATTCTCTCTCTCTCTCTCTCTCTCTCTCTCTCTCTCTCTCTCTCACACACACACACACACACACACACACACACACACACGGAATCTAATAACGATTAAGTGATGTGTTTGATTAAACCACATTAAATTCTTAAAACTGGAGGATGAAAATGACATTTCTATACCATAAGAACCTCAATACATAATGAGAATTAGCAGCAACAAATTACAAAATATCTCAAAATACAGTTCTACAAACGAAGAGTTATACAAACCCTGTGAACTACCTTGAAAAACGAAGAAGCATAAATTCATAGCAATATAGTCCCAAATCAGGAAATTGCAAGAACAGTCTAAACATTTGCACTAAACACATAAATCACTACCTTTTCAAATAAGAAAAGTATAGTCTAGTCTTACCTTATTGCTGCAAAAGGCTGGAATAAAAATTACCAACTTATAGAAGCAACTTTCACATGTATCTGAACATCAAACACAACACACAATATAAAATCAAAAATAACTAGAACAGAAAAGTTTTCAGTCTGACCTTAAAAATACTGAGCAAATCACTAGATGAAGCCAGATCAAAAGAAAGGGCATTACACCAGCTTGTAGCCAGATGTGAAAGGGTCCCCAACTGCACAGGGCACAGATGGTATAAAACAGGGGTGGGGGCACAAGCAGATCCAAAACATAATCTAACAAACCTGGTTCAACTTACACAGGTAAGACTATTCTAAAGAATTAATAATGTTCAATGCAACTGATAAGATTTTAAATTTGAGACAAATGACGTTAGATGTCTCAAGCCAAAGTGTGCTCACTAGTTTACAATTTAAAATTCTTTTGTGGAAACACCGAAATAAATTTTCCATGAGAATATCTTCAAAGTCATGGTGACTTGTTTTACATGAATACCGAGAAGACAGTGTTAAAACTTAAACAAAAACAATGGTTATAAGCCACATTATCTGAGAACTTTGGGAAGAATTTAATGTATACCCACAAAATTAATACCTCTATTTGAAAACAGAAACCCTGCAAGTTGATTAAAATGTTCAGAGTCCTTTAATAGTCGTATGTTAAAAGATGGGAGGTAGCATAAATTTTCTACGGAAAACTCAGAAACACTCAATTTACTTTATGTTCAGTTGCACAATGCAAAGTTGACACTTTAATAAATCCCAAATAAACATTTGTTCCAAAATAAAAGTTCAAGAAAAATTATCTGACTTCAATATTAGAAATCGAAATTTTCATAAAGAAATCTTGTGTTTGTTTAAATGAGTTGGTAACTTTTCTCAGGCAGCAACCAAAACCAAAACATTTAACACAGATTCCCTCAATCTCATGATTTCTAAAGGACACAAAAACATAGAATATCCAAAGGCTATTGTATTGGATATTCTAATAAGGTACACTAAACACACACATATACAATGTGACTCTAAATTTCAGTAGCAATGAACAAAAAAATATTGACTTCACAATGACTTTTGCTTATCGCTCACATAGTTTAGGGAATACTTATTTGATTTTTTTGACATTTCTATGTATTAAAGGATCTCTCCAGTTTAGTAACAGCTTTGCTAAGCTATGTTTTGAAAGTGACAATTAATTTTAGTGGAAATTCATTCCCAGGCTGCTTTGATAGTCATTTGAACAGTTTTGCGTTATTTTACATGCAATTTTACAGCTCTATAACGTTCATTTAATCTTGTTCAATGATGCTGAACCCCAGATGCCATAAGACATTATAGAAAGTAGTTACTGCACATATGGAGTAACTACTTTTCTGAACATTAATTTCTTTTCTCTTAACAGGCTGAAATGGTATTTAGAAAAGGGAAAAGCCACCACTCTGTATGAAAGGCTTTATATTATGGACTTCCAGAGATGTGTTTCTATGACTGCTGTGGTGCCAGCCATAAAGTTCTTATTTACGAGCATCATCTATTCAAGTCTCAGTATGAATGGTTTTCTCCAGCCTTCCTTCATAAGATTGTTGGTATCATACATTAGAATCAGGTCACCTGACAGGGGTTAGAGTTGGGAGACTTTCCTCATTTGTCTTCTGTGGGAGTTGAATAAAATCAGGGGTTCTCCAAGAGCGATCTGAGCACCGTCAGCATCGGAATCACTAGGGCACTTGTTAAAAATGCAGATATCCTCCCAGACTTCTAGGGCTGAGGTCAAGAAATGTGCTTATAAGTATCTGAGTAATTTTTCTGCATGCTAAGGGGTGAGAAGCGCTGGTAGATGATCTCAAAGGTCCCTTCCACTCTAAAATTCTAAGAGTCTCTGAGCTTTCTTTTAAAAATGGATTCATGTCAGCAACATGAAATAATTTATAAAACACAAGACAGTGACTTTTGGCCTCAGTGGGTCAACCTAAATAAATATTCTTAGATTTGGATGCATAAGTAAAAATAATAGAAAATAAAATCAGAACAGTATAATCCGACATGAAAGGAATCTATCTGGGATTTCTTCTTGGGAGTGGAGGGGCAACCCACTCTAATTGCTATACATGAGCACAGATTCAAAGGGACTTTTCATTGCACCTCAGTTCCTATTTTTTCCACGTCACCCTCTGACTCCTCCCAGCTGTTGAGATCCAGGCTTTTTACAATCCTGAGTCATCAAACTCTTGAGTAATTTTAACTGATCTCAATATTTTCTTTTCAGAAGTAAACAATTCACAGGCAGTCCTCTACTTTCATTTGTAATGAGTGAAATCTTACAGAAACATACAATATAGGGAAGGTGAAGGATACACTTACATTTTTAAAGGGAAGTTCCATATTCAGAGCTAAAAAAATTAACTCCGAATTTTCTCTCTTTAGGCATAATATTTGATGAAATATTTCCCGTATTTCCTATATGTGAGTTTACTCTTTTTATTCCCAACCACTTAGCCCAATGAGAGCCTAGGATTTGAGATATTTTAAGCACATCTGGAGCGATCTAGCTTTGACACATTTTTATTAGGTGCATGAAAGCTAAATGTCTTATTGCCAAGTATCATTTTTACATTTTCTTGTCAAATTTTTATAAAAGCATAGGAGCAAAATGCAGTAGGATCTTAAAAGAATTCCACAAACATAGCTGGATAAATTCTGCTGCAGAGCCAGAACTGTTGGCTGGAAGGCAGCGCCACCATGTGATCGTTCCAAAGGCTGTCAGTTTCGTCTAAGGACACAAGTTGGGATCCTCTAAGAGCCAGGCAACTAATAGCAAAAGCCCACCTCCTGTCGTAGGAAGGTTATTTTCAAACTCCAAACCCCAGTACCACCTCTGTCTCTGAGAGGGAGAAGGACGAGCTGTTTACAAAGAGGACATCTGATTACGGAGTCACATCAGTGGCCAGACTGGATCAAATATTTAGTGCTTGATTAGGGTAGCTAGTGGGGAAGTTAAGGTAGACAGATTCTGAGTACTCTCCATTTAAGGACGCCTGCACTGGGATGCAACTTGCAGACTTCAATGCCCAGCTCTGTGGCTGGCTAGCCCTATGTCTTTAACAGGTGACAAGTTCAGTCAAGGCTCAGTTGGTGGACTGTATACTATGTCTATAGAACCCAATTACATCTAAAGCTTCTTAGCTGTAAAGTCATGTGACTGTGTGCCTGGTGTAGATGTGGGCTAAATTCAAGAAGATGGGTGAGAGAGAGTCAACTTAAAGTTTATTAGAGTTGTATTTTCCTTTTCACGTTTTTGCTTCATAAAGTATATCATGAATCTAATAGCAATATTATATTAAATGTACATGTTTGCAGTGAATTATACCCTCATTTAAGAAATGTGGAAAAGTTGGGGGAAAAGAGGAAATCTTAAAACTAAGTCAGCGGTGCAGAAAGTGCTTACAAAAGACAGTCGAAATAAAGACAAGTTACTTTAAAAGAGTATTTTTTGTCCTTACTTTCCCAATGTAGGCAACTGCCTGTGACACAACAATCTAGGGAATAATGGGAGAAGAAAAAGCATATTAGTTTCAATCAGATTTCCTGGCATGTATCACAGACCCTAAGGAATTACAAAGACAAAAAAGCGAGCTCTTTGGTTTCTATATGGTTCTTTGCAGAGTCCAAGGCTGCACCTGCAAGCACTTGGCTGAAAGACCGGGATTCTGCTGGAAGCCTGTACTTTCCCCACATCGGCCAAGATGGGTAAACTGCTTTAACACAAAAGTCACATGCCCCATAAAATATTTCCTTCTATCTCAAAAGAGTATTAGCTTCTTTAATCTAAGAAGGTAATGAGAGGTTTTTAAACTGATTAAATCAGCTTAGTTCATACAAAGTCTATTATGACTAAATATTCAATTAAAACAATTTCCAAACCAAAATCTGACAAAATCCTCTCTGAAAGTAATTTAGATGATAGGTTTTTAACATTAGGCAAATTAAATCCTTCTCACAGTTGGTATTTTTGAAAGGGTCAGAAACAGTTGCAGAAGTTCACTGGGGCAAAAATCTACTTTGTGTGCTAGTCATGTTCCAAGATCATAAACAACAGAAACTGGAAATATTAACGTGAGCCTAACATTCCTATTTCATTTTATTTTTACTTCAAAGACTACATACATGCAAAAGTTGAACATGTCATCACAAATGCTTTAAATAAAGTTCAAAAAATAAAAATACTTCGAAATCCATTTACTTATGGAAATATATATGACAATATAGTGAAAACAATTATATCCTTTTTTTCTAATCAGAAAAATACTTATATTATAAAAAAGAATTTTAATTCATGTCCAGAATAATTTTTTAAAATCTTTGACTCATAATTTTAAAACAAGTTAACTGATAGTACAACATTTGGAGAAACAAGTCCCAGGCTTTTGCTAACTGGATCTGATATTCTTATACTTCATTTTGAAATCACTAAGGAAACTCAAGTTTAGAAAAAAAGCATTTAAAAAAACTATGATGATAAGTATTATGGCTGAGGTGGTTCCTAACCAAGGGAAGGGCACGACTTTTATAAACGGATAATGTGGAGAATCCTTTAAAATGTTTGAATGGAGAATTTTATCTACAAACACATAGTGGAGGCTTAAAGTAGCCTCGACTCTCTCTGCTGGTCAACACTGCAAGAGGAATTAAAACTCCTGGGTACACTGAAGATCTCATCGGTACACTGCCCTTTTGAAAAATGTGAGCATGCACTAGCTCCCGTGACTCCAAAATCAAGCCAGCCAGGGAAGTGTCTTCGAATGGCCCTGCCCTTTATCAGGCAAAAGCAGCCAGAGGCTTGGCAAAGTCAGGAGAGGGGAATTGGCGTATTCTGAGCAAGTCTCCATGGTCCAGAAGATGACCATTCCCTTCTAATAAAACCAATAATTCTTTGGTAGCATAATACAATATATACCAACAATCCCAACGATTAATAGGAGCAGAATGCGCTCAAAGTTCAACTTTGTAAATGTTCACATTCATCCTGGTAATGAGATTTAACTTCCTGCACCTATAAGAAAAAGGGCGGGGACAGCTGCCCAGGCTGGAAGACTATCGATGATGAGAAATGACACACAATGTGAGCAGGGAAAGGGATCATTTAACAAAATGTGTTAGCGTTGACTGGGAAAGCCCTAAGTGGGCAAATACCTGAATTTTGGAAGGAGCTTAATTCAAAAAATTAAAATATCATCTTCTCTTTAAATCAGAAACATCAGGTTTTCTATTGGGAGAAATCCCTTGCTACCACTCTAAGCCTTTTGTTGAAAAGCACAAATTGAAATTCGGGTTAGAAATGTTTCCACAGAGGGTCCAAAGACTTAGAGCTTGATTTGTATCCTGATACTGAATTGTGATTATAGTTTTCATGTTAGGCAATTCAACTATTATTTTCCTTTTATCGCTAAAAAAAAAGTTTTTAAAAGGAAAATTAAAGATGTGTGGGCTGTCAGTGCAAAATCAGATTAAGTATGGTTTTTCTTTTCCCTGGGACAGAAAAAAACGATGCCCAGCTCACAGTACGTAGGAATATGTCACAACAAATAATCAGAAGACAGGTTTCTCCAAGCTAGTATCCCTCCTTGTACAGTGTGGTATTCAAAAGCAGTCTTGTCACGATTATGCATATTCTCATTAACTAGGTACAGCAGAGCTAGTTAAAGGGAAACCGATTTCTTGGGCCTCAAATGAAAGGGGAGTGTAGAAAACAATAATTAGGCTGAATAAGGAATTTTAAAGAACAAGAAAAAAAAATGCAGTGTGAAAAGAACAGAGAATTTAGAAAGCCAAAAAAAAAAATTTTTTTTTTTTAAAGCAAGTAATGTGATGGTAGAAACCCACACAATCTCCCCCCACCCCACCTGCCACTTTGAGTCCTAATTGCCCATCTGCAAGGACAGAAACCCACTCTA